TGTTTGGATAACGCGATTGCCTGGGACTTACTACCTGTCACAGGACCCGCCAAGGTACTTCCATCACTTGATGCGTTCTTCGCTTTGTGCCACTTTTCATGGTGGCTTTGGTGTTGAACTTTGAAGTAGCGATGTTCTTTTGGGCTTTCTTGTCTGTCTAATCCTTAGGGAGAATTATGAAATTCGACAAAATAGAGACTTGATGGTAAAAGAAAGAGATTTGAGACAAAGAAAGTCCCACTGGGCGTGCTAGAAATTTGTACACTCAAATTTCGTAGTCTGCAAATTAAAGAACGAAATAGGGGAACAAATAGAATTTTATTGATTTATGATAAATAAAAGGAATACAATCATTTGTAATATTCTTTACAAAGAATAAAGTCCTCTGATTCGATCTCCTTTGTTGGTATTAAAAGCTACACGAGCTTGATCTTAAATCTCCATGAAATTTTAATGAAGAACAATACGGTTTGATGTTCATGTTGTTGATCACCGTGGAATTTTGATGAAGAACGACACGATTTAATGTGCTTATTGCTCTTCGCCTTCAGGTTTGGGTGTTGGGGATGAATGTCAGCAGAATTTCTGTATTTCTCTCTGGAATCCTAGAATTCTCAATTTCTATACCACTTCCTCCTTCCTCCATGCCTCTATTTATAAGTTTATTGAATTAATAGAATGATAACATGTGTCCTCACTTGATAAGGAAATAATTATAACTGGGCTGGGTCACTTACATTAAATAATTATCCATAAAAATAATTATTCCAAATATATTTTATTAGGAATAATTATCTTTTTATTTAATCACCTGGGCTGTGCTAATTAAATAATTTAAGTTAGCTAAGTTTGGGCCAATTAAATAATTTAATTAAACATGAGACCCATATTTAATGGGTCAATTTGTCAAAACAAAAGTCTATAAAAATTGTAGTGTCTACAGACATGTATTAATATATTAAAAAGAACTCTTAACGTTAGCTTTCATCTGATTAGTGCGTCAAGTGTCAAATGGTCCTAGACCATCTAATAATTTCTTGAATTACCAATGTACATCTTTGTAATTAAAGCCCATAATTTCCTTCAGGGGTAATTATATGGTGTCCAACAGTCAAATAATGCAAATTGTTTTTATGTGAATGTCAAACCGTCAAATTAGTCTAATTGTCAAACTAAAATCATTTTCCTTTTCTTAAACATAAAGAGAAGAAAATGTGGGAAATCTTGAATGACTATAATTCAGTGGTACTTTCTCACTTTTGTAAATAAAAAATCGAAAGTTCAAGTCTTCATAAGGATATGTGGGTGTATGAATTTCTTACAACAGTAATAATATATATATATATATATATATATATATATATATATATATATATAAAGGTCATCTACGTAACGTTCAAACTGGAACAAACAAGAGTATGATAAATAAATGAGGGCAAAATGCTATGACGAGGAATATTCTTAAGCTATGTTCAGCTGTATGGAATTGAAATTGGAGGAATTGGATAAAATTAACTCAAAAAACTGAACTAATATAATCTCCAATTTCAATTCTAAGACTTCAATTCCATGTAGCCGAATACAACCTTATGTTTTCGCCTCATCAAATAAACTGATTACAATAAATCCGTGCTGTCATTCATTTAGTTTGCATCATCAAATGATTGAATTTTTGTAGAATATACTCAGATCAAAAGGCAATAATTCGAAATACCTCTTTTACACTATTTCTAAATAAGGCTAATGCTTGCCTCTGAACCTGATTCTACAACACCAGGAGGTCTCTCCTAAACCGGGCCATATTCAGGCCCAATTCTCTAGTGGGCTAATAACTTTTGGTTCCTATAGCCCTTAAAAAAAAAAAAAACAAACAAACAAACAAACCCTTATTTATTTTTCTCTCTATATATAAGAAGCAAATTCACAACCATATATATATATATATACCTTCCGATAAATAATCACAACCTGACAACCAGGTGATATATTGAAGTGAAAAACTGCAAAATTATTGAATCATATCATAGGTAGAAAATGGAGATGGGTAGGAAGATGTTAGATGGTGGTGGTGGTGGTGGTGGTGGTGGTTTTGGTTATGGTATTGGAAGGGTCGAAAGCATTTGAGTTTTGTAAAATGACCAAGGCTGGTATGCTGGCATGCGAGCCCTGCGTGACTCATCAGCCACAGCCGACCAAGCCGACCCCGGAGTGTTGCCACGCCCTTTCATGTGCTGACTTGGAATGTCTGTGTTCTTATAAGGACTCATCCGTGTTGTCAAGACTTGGGGTTGATTATATCCATCTTTTTTATTCTATCAAGTCTTAAATATGTAGAAGACCGAATAAAATCTCAATGTAGTTTGAAATAAATTAGTTATACATGCCTTGTATTTATCTGAATTGTGTTGTAAATAAATCTTGAAAGTACCAATGGAGGTCGCTTTTTTGAAAAATTTGTGATGAGATTGTTCTTATTTGGTATGTATATGTGTGTTTGTTCTAAGAACAGTCTAAGAGTAACATAACCACATTTTTTTTTACTGAAAATTGAGATTGGAAAATGAAGTTCAATATATAGTAGTATAATAATTTAAATGAAAAATAATATTACTCCTTACATGGAAAGTGTATGAATATTTTTTTTAATTAACTGTGCGTGGAGTGTATGCTTTTGTTTTCTAAGGACAGTTATGTTATATTTTTTTTCTAAAAATAGCAAGCAAAATGTCAATATCATTTCTATTTAAAAAAATAATTGGTTATCTAAAACGAAGTTAAATAAACATATTTTGGCTTTTACTATTTTTGAATTTATTTTTTAAGAATGAATCGAATATGGCAGGTTCATTCTTTGGTCTCAATTAAAATGTAACAATTCATATAGATTAGGTTTTGCCTGTGTTTCAAAATAGAAATCTCTCTTTCGTAAAAGGTGCATGTACAATCATAGTCATTTTATATATATAATGATTAAATGAATATGAATCTTATTCTTTTTACTTGTATTTTAGGTGACAAATGTTCTTATTTGCCATAAAGCTTTTTGTTACAGGGCCTTTTGACATGCGATATGTTTTAGGCGTTATTTGTTGTATGAGTGTTTTGGATAGAAATCGAAATCATATTTGTTAATGAAAATTTCAAAAATTTGCTTTAGTTCATCGTTGTAGAAGTGTTATGGGTAGAAATCAGAATCATATTTGGTAATAAAAATTTCAAAAATTTGTTTTAGTTCATCCACTATAATATCAAAACAAATAATATATATATCACCAATGATATGAATTTGGGCCTAAAAAAATTAATATATTATAAACTATTCCAAACTAATATTAATTTTCTCTAACATGATATGAACTTAAATTTAAATACTAATATTAAAAAAATAATATCATAACACAGGCCAAATAGGTTAGACAAACCCAATTGGCTTGTGGATTCTCTCGCATGCGTGTTACAAAAACCCTTGTTAAAAAAAAAAAAAAAAAAAAAAAAAAATTACAAATACCCACCAGTTATTATGGAGCCCACTACGCAAATATACAGGTGGATTCAATCGGGAAATATTTAGATGGAATGGTCCCAACCAATCACTATTGATCATATAAGCGAAAAGCTGAAAAAGCTTACATATTTGATTCCAACCACACATAATAACTACTCCAAATCGACCCTAGAAACATGTAACTTACATATAAATGGAGTCAAAGTTCCATATTTACTTAGAGGCTGAGTCAAAGTTCCATATTTCTCTAAAATGGATTGATGAGGTGGCACATGGTTTTTTACTGTTTATAAATTGTGGTGCCTAAAATACCCTTCCGCGAAGGTACTACTTTTTCTTCGAAGGTACTACTTTTTTGAACTGAAGGTACTACTTTTTGGCGTCCAGGTACCATATTTTTTAAACACCCGCAAAGGTACTACTTTTTCTCCGAAGGTACTACTTTTTTGAACTGAAGGTACTACTTTTTTGAACTGAAGGTACTACTTTTTTGTTAGGAAAGGGCATTTTAGGCACCACAATTTTCTAAACAGTAAAAAATCATGTGCCACCTCAGCAATCCATTTTAGAGAAATATGGAACTTTGACTCAGTCTCTAAGTAAATATGGAACTTTGACTCCATTTATATGTAATTTTCCCCTTAAAATTTCAACTATTGGCCTCATTCTATAATTTTATCACAAAAAGCTTAGAGTTAACCTTGTTTTATGTTAAGCTTCTGATTTGAGCTGGAGAAGGTATAGACAAATTTGCAAGCTTTCGAACCGCATTCCTAATTTGAATGGTATGTATTGTGGAATCATACATGTGCTCTAAGAAGAAGAAGAATAAAAAATAAAAAAATAAAAAGGTGCCCATAGACAAATTTGCAATTTTCGAGAAGTAATTCAGTATATTTTGAATATTTCCTATCGAAAGCAATGCTTACTTTCTTTTGTTGTTTGGTTGCCAAAACATTTCTAGTTTTAACTTAGATTTCCATTTTAACAATTGTTATTGTGACCTCTTACATAATGCTAATGCAAAGTAAATAACCATGGATCATTTCTCATCTTGCAATCCTTAAAATTTAAACAAAATACCACATAGTAAAATGGCATTTTACTGGATCCATTTATATTACAAAGATATAAATGCATCACTTGCTTGAACAATTGCTAATCATGACACCTTGTAACTTGTCAGTGCCAAAAGCGGACAATATTATATCTGAATAGGGGTGAGAGCTATTACAAGCTATAACCTCATAATCTTTGAAATCAGCTCAGATGATTGAATCCTTGTTATAACTCTTCAATTAGATAGCTATCATATGAAAATTACTCTGATTGGTTAGCCAACTTCAGTCACATAAAAAAAATAATAAATAAATAAAACTACTTCATAACTTGTAAAGCAACCTGAACTTGTATCACTACAGGTTACAACAAGAAGTTGCTTATTTGGTTTGGAGTATGCAAATATCATTTCTAGACATGAAACTAAGAAGCATCGTAGCAAACTGGAACCACAAAATTTTACGAAGAAAGACAACTATTACTCTATTACAAATATACCTCCAATATAAATTACACAATTCGTTTTGATTATGAAACCCCTGTTAAAAAACAACAAAAACATTTAATTTAGTGCCTATCAAAACCATTTGGGTTATAATAAATCAAACTCACCAAATTACAAACCATCAGGGCTCCTCCATATTATTCGATTAACTGACACATGTAGATCTTTGAGCGGTCACCTGAATATGGTGTGGTCATCCAAATATTAGAACAATGGTGGTTGTCCTTCAATAAAATCCACCTAAAGAAACTCCATATAGGCGTCCATTTGTTTCCCATGACCTGAAAGAAATCAACAAGTGAATAAAAACTTTATATATATACACACACACACACACACACACGTATGTATATATATGTAGAGAGAGAGAGAGAGAGCAATCAATAACCATTTGCAAGAATCATTTCCTCCCAACAAACCAAAAAAACAAAAAAAAAGAAATCGTCTGTGACATAGAAATGTCTACAATGGCATCTGCTGCAGCACTCGTGGGTTATTCATCAGTGTTTTCAAAACCTTGGACCATGCATGAGAATGCAAGGAATAAGTGCCAAACTCAATATCAAAATTCAGATAAAATTCAGTTTATAAACATAGCTTAGATTGTATAAAACTCAAACAACATTTAATCAGCAACTACCCTTAGTTTCTAAAAGCTACGATTGCATAGACATTTATGATCCGTAACAGCTTGAAAATCATTGCTAGCACAGATAGCCATCTCTGCCTCTTGCCGTACTAAATCCAAAGTAACATTTTGGTCCATGAGCTGGTCACAGACATGCATGGGCTCTTCTACCAATGTATCATGAAAAAGATCACAACCACCTGTGCAAAAGATAACACTAGACTGAGCATGAGAAAACATATAATGACAGTTTGTAAGTTCTTGTGAATAGGCAAAGGAAAAGCTTGATGGCCATCAGTGTTGGGGAAAATAAACATACATTTGGAATGACTGGAATTTGTTGAGTCAAAACAATTGCGGCTTCACATATTGATGCACAACAAATACCAAACACTGGATGATTTATAGAAAGAAACCAACATGGGATTTAAAAATTACCTTGCTTCAATTTCCAACGCTGAAATGGAGCCATCGTCAATGGATAATTAAATTGTGAAGCACATTTTTTCCCCCTAGTTGTGGAGCACATTTTTCTTCTCCAAAGTTTGGAGTAGGTGAAGAATCATTGAGGAAATGTGTATATAGAGTTGGAAACATATAATTTATAGAGGCATTCCATATTTAGCTTTCACTAAACCAGTTTATTTTACCCTTCTCCCTCTCTTGACCCTTTTGGGGAATCGTTCTTTGGGATCTAAAAGGACTTCATGATGCATTTCTGCCCAGAGCTCCTCAAATTGATCATGAAATCCCTCCTGAAACCAGTCCATAATTTCCGATTGTAATTCTCTAGGATTCTCATTCCAGACCTCTCCTAGCATGGCACAGCTATCAATAGTTCTCAAACTTGTATTTAACTTGCTTAGAAGATTCCCAACCCGTCTATGACCCAATGCCTCTGGCCTCAAAATGCTACCAGGGGAGGCTGCCATGAATTTCCTGGTTGATCTTAAGCAAGGTAACACATGGCCTTCAAGCAAAGAGAGAGCAAAGACAGCCACTCGATGATCATCGTCTTTGATGGGCAAACTATGCAGCGGAAGCTGCCACAGATGAGGGCCAAAAGTCGGAACAACCCAACAGAAGACTTGGTCCGTAAGGGGATCATAATAGGGTTTGGGATCTGCAAGGGGGGCAGAGAAACTGCACAAAGGCCCAGCATATTTAACAAGCCAATCTGATTTCACACTTGTTGCTCCATGCATATATGGTCGTTTTGTATGTATCAATTCATTGTATACCAAAAATTCAGGAGCAGACCTAGAAAGAGATGACCACCGATGAAGGAACACTGTTTCCTTGACCACGCAAGCTTGATAGCGAACTGCATTTACTTTTCGGTCTCCCGATGACGACTCTGAAACTGCCCGAGTGCGTTTAGCAATCCTATCAGCCCAACCAGCACAAATAGCTTGGCACAATACATCCTCTTCATTCAATAACAAAGGATACTTATCGGAGGAAACCCTCCATGCTCGATCTATATCGTCCATGGTCCCATGAGTCCATGAATATTCCTGCTGCAAACCATAAATTTTTTGGCTAAATACTAGTTGAAGTACCTGCTTTCTCAGCTTAGACATTTCCTCCATGGTTTTTACGTGTAATGCATTGTCATTGCAGAATTCCACTGGGCTTCCAGAAAGTTCAAAACACTGCAAAGCATTCGCTATCATCAAAGCATCACTTCTAAGGTTAGAAAATTTTGCACGGGAAACTTTAGCTGTTTCTTTTAGTTTCTTTTTCCTCGACTTCTCTTCCTTCTCTAAAATTTTCTTGCTATCTATAATGCCAGAATTTTCATTTTGCTCTAAGCAATCCGTGTCAGCATTGCTTCCTTCAAACTGCATAACGAAAGGATTTGACAAGCTCAAAGCTGCAGCAGCTGCAACTGCATATCCTAGAACTAGGTCTGCACGTGCAGAAACTTTCGCCTTTCTCATGATTTGAATAACTGTAAGGAGCATCCGGGAGTGTCGAGGACTCATTGGATACTGTGCCATTGCCTTCCCTAGGGGTGTCAGTCTTCCTTTGCTATCAAGTGCTTCAAGAGCCTTTAAGCAATGCTCTGCTTCAACCAATGCAGTGGGTTCCGGAGGAGTAGGAAATGGGAAATTTGAGACCTGGAATGAAGACATAATAGATGCAACTAAAGAATGGCCACAATAATTTAAAAGGATATGAATTAAGAAAGAATATGAAGACCATGTAGTTGACACAAGCATATGTTGACCATTTAGTTAAAACGAGTTTTTAGGCAGAGACAGAGAGCATGCAGGAGCGGTCCCAACTCAGAACCAGTGGGGGCAGATGCCCCACTGGAATTTTCTTTTATTTTCTTTAAGATTTTAAGCCTGTCGCCACTACATTATTTATTATGCTTCAATGTATATTCACCCCCACTAAAGTTATAGGTCATTACAAAAAGAGTAATCGACTCTCCCTCTCTCTTTACCATTTCTACCATTGACTCAACTTTTCTGTTATTTTAGTTTTGCATTTCTATCTTTTAATAATTGTATAAATACTCCTACAAAATTATAAAAATATCTTTGATCTTAAAATTCAATACAAAGATGAGAGAAAAGGGAGGAAGAAGCATGTTTAAGCAACTTAGTGACTAGGTTCATCTAATAGCTTGCATTTCTTATTTGTATTTTTTTTATAAAAAAAAAACAAAAACTAAAAAAACAAAAACAAAAACAAAGAAAACATAGTCATTATATTTATATATATATATATATATATATATATATATATTAAGAAAAGTATATTTAATCGCATCGAAAATGTGATACAACATTTTTAAAAGGTGAAGACTTATCAAATATAATTATAAATGTATTGAATGAAAATATTATCAAGCAACAATTAATTTTTTATATTTGTTATCATGGTACAAAAAAAATTAGTCATATTATTATTCAATGATGCCGCCACTGAAAAAAATTTCTGGGTCCATCACTTACCACATGGACAGGTGAACTTAAAAACACACTTCTGCTGAATAAAATATGTCAGGAACGGTCGGGCTTCATATTACATAGGGAACATACCTTACTAATACCCATGGATTTCATCAGGAGGACGACACCATCAACGGGTATTTTTGATATTTCAGCACTTGAGAAGTCAGGAAATGTGTTACTAAAGGCTGCAGAAGAATATAGACGATAGCAGTGGCCAGGCCCTGTTCTTCCAGCTCTTCCTGCACGTTGAGCAGCAGATGCCTTGCTTATCCACTGTACTTCATATGTTTCCATGCCATTGGAGGAGTTGTAGTTCTTGACCTTCTCTTTTCCAGTGTCAACTACATACTTTATGCCTGGAATAGTTAGAGAGGTTTCAGCCACATTAGTAGCAACAACAACTAGACGCTCTCCTTCCTTAATCTTTTCAAACACATGAAGCTGTGCTGATAAAGGAAGCATGGCATAAAGGGGTAAAACACACATTGCACCTGCACAGAAACCATTTGATACTCCCCCTTCCTCTCCCAAGCTGGATTTGGATTGATTTAAGCATCCTTCTGGAGTAACAGGAACAATCTCTTTCCCTTCAGAATAAGGGTTCATGGTAGTTTTTCCAGCCAAAGCTTCAAAGGCAGCCTTCAGTGAAACAAGGCTCCCATTCTCGCCTAGGACATCTGCAAGATTACCATTAGCCTCCAGAGTTTTCTGGTTCAACAAATTCTCATCATCAACAACTTCTATGTCACTCTGTGACCCAGAATCATAGGAAAAATCTGACTCATCCTCATCTAAATCACCATGATCTTCATCATAAGAACTGAACCGGTCAGTTTGCTGGTGGCCTAAGTTCCCGTGCATCTCAAATGCTTCATTGATATCTTTCATATCATCTTTATCCATATTTTTCCCTTCAGAGGATACAGTAACATCATTTCCCTCATTTCCTTTAGAACAGTTCTCAACCATATCCTTTGAAGCTTTTCGCAGCTTCTTGCACAAGTACTCTACTTCCCTCTGTCCAGTAACAAAAACAAGTATACCACCAGCTGGAAGCCTCTTGTGAATTGTCATGACCTTCTTATAAGCTTGGCCAATATAGTCCCCATCCTTTGTTCTTTTCGAGAAATGTATAGTAACTGGATATTGTCGGGTTGGAACTTCTATTACAGGAGGTGGATCATAAAATATCCTTCTCCCAGAAACAAAGTCTTCAACTCGCAAGGTGGCACTCATCAGCACGAGTTTTAATGGAAATATCTTACTTTCAGAACTTATTTTTTCTCCTGAAAGGACTTTTTGTCGCTGCTCCTCATATATTATCTACCATCAAAGACATGATATATCTCTATGACAAAAAGTTCGGGAAAAAAAGAAGTGATCAACACATAATTAGAATAATAAAAGTATTCTCTAGCTCTCACCTGCCGCTGTTGTATAATGCGGGAAAGCATTCCAATAAGTATGTCTGTGTTTAAGCTCCTTTCATGAGCCTCATCCAAAATTATAATGGAGTATCGTTTCAATAAGAAATCACTCTGCAGTTCAAAGGCAAACACTATAGTGTGAAGTAAGGTAAATCGTTCCAAAATGAGAGCAAAAGTTATTTACTGAAATGGCTAAAAAAAAAAAATCAATAATAAAAATCCAACACGCAAACATAGATGATGGCACCAATATAACAGTCCAAAAAACATTTTTTTTATTTTATTTTCGCTCACAAGAACTTAAAACAACAATAGAGTAATGCAAAAAGAAAAAGGAAACAAAGACATTAACACTAAGCAAGAGAGAGTCATGGCAACAAGAGATTATTTTCTAAGACTTGTTTAGGTCTAGCGTCCAGTGAAACTTGCCAGTACTTAACTGGAATTCTAGTTCTAGTATGTTATTATATAAGTTTTAATGTTCAATTATACACCAGGGACATGAACTGGTTGAAACAAAGAAAAACCCGAAGTTGAGCAAATCCCAGAAAAGAAAGCTGAAGAAGCTAGAAGTCTGTTTGCTTGCATGTGCCTTTCGTTTTTTTTTTTTTTTCAATTCATGTTTATTGAATATGGAATGACTTCCTTTTCATATGTGTAGGCGGAGAAGGAGAAAACATGTCTATTATCCAAAAGCATTGAGACCTTCAAGTAAGTTATCTGTTTGGTCTGTCTTGGATAGTTAATTGGTAGTGCAGTTCATCTTTATGCCAAGAATGTTTGATACACATGTTGGGTGATCACGTTTCAGGAAATACAAGATACAGGATGATGTATATTCACTTATTAACACTAAGCAAGAGAAAGTCATAGCAACAAGAGATTATTTTCAAAGACTTGTTTAGGTCTAGCGTCCAGTGAAAGCCTTTCCCTATGCAGGTACGGAGAGTCACTCGTGATAATATCACGGCAGTTCCCTTGCCATCTTGATGTACTTGTATTATTAATATAACTTCTATTCACTAATATATATATATATATATATATATAATCTCTAATTATTTTGAGCAGAAATAGATAAATAGTTTTGATTGATTTATATAATCTTTAATTCAAATAAAATGTTTTATAGGGAAGTCAGATGTACACAGAAAGGTTAATCTCCCCTCCCTCCCTCCACCCAATTAAACACATAAAACACTCTCTCTATGTTATACATGGCAGAGTAAAACCCAACCTGTATGACCGTACTGCCTTACAAGGCTAATAGGAACTAATGCCATACTCTTCACTTCGTAAAGGACTTGCTTCTTACAGAGGTAGCATAAAATAGGATTTAGAAAGAGACGTTTTCAAACCATCCCCCCTGGGATTTCCAAGCTTTAAAAGTATCAATTCCAGCCACACTGGTTAAAGGAACCGTAAGTGTAAAATCATACATAAGATTGTCATCCTCATAAAGAAGACAATTCAGCATGAAAACAGGTCAATCCTAAGGGTCTCGACAGGAATGAGCACGCCCATCATCCTCCAAAGATCTATGAATCTTCAACAAGACTTGAGATAATTTAATTGCAATACCCTGTAACTATGTAACATTGCCAAGGGACTCACCAGTGTTAAACTACCAATTCTGCAAGTATGTTGCAGAAAACCACAACACAGAATCACTAAAGATGTCAAATCGTCATTCAACATTACACTTCAATTTACAGAGTCTACAATAATGTAGAAACCCATTCATTACAGCGAACTGCCGCACCAAACATTTTCCATATTATGACCATCACATTATGACCATTTAATTTCTTAGAGTTCTTCGCCAATACTTTCCACCCAAGGATCTGAATGTCAGCCAATGTCCTTACCTCAAACAAAACTGAAACTCTGCTCAATATTCAGAAAGGAAAAGGGGGGAAAGCCTTCCATTTATTTTTTAATCTCCTTTCTTCTTCGCTTCTATTGGTCCCTGAAGAAGAGTCCATCTCTCTCTAGACTGGCAACCCCACGTCCAATCTTGCTGGCCTTTTTATGGAGGCAGGTGATCTAAACAGGGCTCTTCAATATTACAAGGAGGCAGTTAAGCACAAACCGACATTTTCAGACGCCTTTTTGTCTCCTTCCTTATGACTACTAAAGTTCCTTTTGGTAAGGTATTAGATCTTGCAAGCCGCTGCATCTAATTATGATATAATGCTTGGATTTCAAATAATAGACAATAACATACTCATAAATCTAATGCATACACCAGCCTACTGAATCATTTTGCCCTGTGCATTTCTATACAATATGTTGAACCTTAACACTTAGTAGTTAATTATAATCCTTTTTTTACATTTCATAGAATTTCACTTAAGGTTTGTATTGTCCAAAGTTTGGAATTAGCAAATGAATGTCTAATTCCAGTAATTGACAAAAATCTTAGACATGCAAATTTGTGAGATTTAATTTTTTTGGATGGGTCACTGAATAATTTCTCTGAAATTGTATTCATTTAACACCCTTTATGATACTAATTTAGAGTTCAGTAATGAAAGGTTGGTGGTGGGAATGATGGTAGAGTCTGACAAACGAAGCTATCACAATAATGGTGATACAGATGAAGGAAGTGTGTTGATAGTGATCACATGATGTTAGTGGTTGGGTGGTAATGTTTGATGGCATTGCCAGTTATATAATAGTATGATAGCAGTGATGATACTAGCAGAAGTATTATCATGGTGACAGTGATAGTGGAGGTAGAAACCATAGTAGTACCTGCAAAAGTGATGGCAGCAGTAGTGGTGGCCCCTGCCCCTCCCCCCAAATTTGGTTTTTTTTTTTTTCCAAAAAACTTATTATGAGGCCCAAAATAGAGGGTTTGAAAATAAAATTAGATTGTGTCCTTTTAGTTATACATTTGAAAGCTCATTATTGTGAAACAAAAAATTAAGTTCAATATTATTATAGTCCTTGCCACAACACCTCATTATTTCATTTATATACACATGTAATCATTTACAATATCTACTGCATTGCGTTTGGGACCATCAAATCGGTGCCTTGGATTTGTTATCGGAGGAAATTTAGTTCAAAGTTTAAACTGAATTTCCTCCAATTCCAAATCCAAAATGCCGATTCGGTCCTCCCAAACATAGTATTATATTAATTCAAGAGAGAAAAAAGGAGAAAAATCATTAATGTTACATCATGTTTGAGAAAAATGCATGAACCTTATAGTCAAAAATTTCCGTAAAATGGTGTTTACAAGAAAAATATCTAGAATTATATACCAATCTTCATTGTTGAGTCCTAGGAGCATTAGGAAGGAGGATAAACTAAAGTACTCTGGGGACACTCAACAACAACTATTATATCATATATGCTTGTACTTCCCATTTTAGTTACATACTACAAATCCCACACCCCCAAAATAAAAATTCATGGCTCCGCCCCTGCGAGTGGCAATGGTGTTCATGACACTACTAGTTGTGCATTGTCATGAAGGTGCTTCACAGTTGTTATAACATAATGATGGCAGAGGGATGTTGAAAATGATAACATGATGAGGTGGGGTGGTGTGGGGTGGAGTTTTTGGCAGTAGGTGGTGACTATTGAGAGCAATGTTTGTGGTTATGGCTAGTTGTCGGATTTCTAGGAAATAAATTAGGAAATTCAATTTTTGAAAATAAAATCTGAAACTACTATTTCAGATTTTTGTAGTTTCTGTTTCCTGTTTTCTAGCCTAGAGTTTTGCTGATTTGATTTGCTGATTTTGTGGGCTTCCTGATTTGGTGGCCTTCGTCTACTATTTATCTTGTAATCGTCTCTCTTGAAAAATAAGAAAACTGAATGTTTTTCTTCTTAAAAAAACCTTCATGGTATCTAGGGCTGCAAATGAACCGAGCTGTTCATGAACAGCTCGGGCTTGGCTCGCTAAGGGCTCAGCTCGGGCTCGTTCATTAAGCAAACGAGCCGAGCTCGAGCCCAATTTCTAGGCTCGTTTACTAAACAAGCCTAGACCGAGCAACGTTGGGCTCGGCTCGCATAGGCTTGTGAACATGGGCTCGTTAAGGCTGGTGAACAAGGCTCGTATCAGGCTCGTTATATATATCAGGCCCATTTGTTTTTATTGTACATTTAAAATGTTTAGTCCATATTATTTTTAAGGTGGGCCCAACTCATATTTTTCATTAATATGGCCCAAGCATTATAACTCACTAGCCCAAAGAAAATCCACCATAGCCCAAATAAGATTTCATCTCACCCACTAAATTAGAACCCATCTCATCCGTTAATTTTGTAAGATATCAAAAACCCTAAAACTACACTCCACCATTCAGATCTGCCCCTTCTCCACAACAAATCCCATCGTCAATCTCTCTCTCTCTCTCTATATCACTCACGAGTCACGAATCAACTCCATCGGCTTAGTCCACTAACGACAACCCTTCCATCTACACAACTAACTCTCTGTCTCTTTCTAATTAACTCAATCGCTATAACTCTCTCTCTCAGATCTGAACGCATCGTCTGTCCTCGTCATCGTCGGCTGCGGTCCTCTATCCTTGCCATGGACGTCGTCCGTTTCCCGCCGTCGTCTATGCCGCTATCCCTCAATCCTCGTCATCATCGGTGGCCGTCCTCTGTCCTCGCTATCGACGTCGTCCGCATCAATCAGGTACTGCATCAATTAATTTTTGGCAAAACTGGACAATTGCGATTTGGTATTATTCGGCATCACCTTACTTTAATTCTTGTAAGTTTGTTGTTTTTTTTTTTTTTTTTTCGCTAAGTATTGTAAGTTCGGACTGCCTCAATTGTTCTTATAAAACAGGTAGTGTTTACCTTCCGCAAATTTTTTTATTTTTTTTCTTTTGTGAACTACTAATTAATTTTGAGAAGTAATTTTTTAAATAAATAAAAAAATTTAACGAGCTGAGCCCGAGCTTCTAAAATTTAGACGAGCCTAAGCCCGAACTCAATTTTTTTAGCTCGTCACTAGCCGAGCCCGAGCAGACCCAAGCTCGGCTCGGCTCGGCTCATTTGCAACCCTAATGGTATCAGAGCCTTGTGCTTTTTTTTCTATTTTCTGACGATGTCGTATAAGTCGGCGATGACAGACGCCCAAG